TATTAACCAGTGGGATACATTTATTTGTGTATTAATTTCTTAACTGATTAACTCTGGGACTGAAATCTACATTGTTTTCTTCTACATGAAGTAGAGTAGGATACATATCAATTTCTCCAGAGCCCTGGGCAGACTTTATTAGAGTATAACAAATCCCAAAAGAAAGTACCAAAAATTGTCTAATTTTCCTGATTTCTGGTTTTAATTTTAATTTGACTTGGACCTATTTTTTTTTTATTTAAGTTACAATAGTGAAAAATAGGGAGAAATTTACAAATCTATGTTGTTTCACTGCTAACAATAGGTAATAGTTTTTAAAAATCCGATTTCATAGCTATTTTCATTAGTGGTGTGAAAAAGATATATTAGTCTACCTTTCCACAAAATAATTCGTTTTTTTAAATGTTTTCTAATTTTAAAAGAAAACTCAGTAGAAAGATTTGGAATTTCCAAAGCAAGGGACAAGTATATAGTAGCAACTTGAATACATCATTAATAGGAATTGGTATGATCTTCGCCCATCAGACTTAGCACTTCTTGAAGTATTTGCCTTTATGCAGGCTTGGTAACAGGGTGAGACAAGAAATGTTGAGCACTACAGCTTGTATACAAGGAAAGAGCATAATGGAAAACTTGTCTGGAAGAAAACATCTGCGTGTAGCAGCAGTAAAGACCTTTGTTCAGAGTGCCAGGTATGTTTTATGTTGAGAAAAAACTGTTATCAAACAGATCTAAAATTTAATTAGAGTTTTGGGGATCATCATATTTTCTCCTAAGGCTGATAAAAATCAACATAGTTGTGAGTTGAAATGTTTAACAAAGGATTTGACAGAGTTTTGCACTTTAGTAAATTTATCAAGCACTTTCCCCATAGCTGACCTTGTAGTGTCATAGGATCATCCCGTCCTCAGAAGGACTCTAATTCAAATTCCTGCTCCAAGCAGGGCCAGCCCAGGGCTTTATCCAGTGTGGCTGTGAAAGCCTCAGGGACTGGAGACACGCAGCCTGTGTGAGGAACCTGCTCCACTGCCTGGCTGTACCCATGGGGCACATTTCTGAACCTTCCTCATTTTAACTAATGCCTGTGTTTGCTTCTTCTGCCATTCCTGGGAAGAGCCTGACTGTTGCTTCTCAATAACTTTGTTAGGTTATTGAGAAACTTCTTCTTGCTAGGTCTCCCAAAGCCACCTCTTCAACCAGCCCTCTTCTCCAGTGCAGTCCAGTCCCTGGATCGTCTCAGTGGCCCTTCACTGAGCTCCTTGTGGTTTCTCCATGTCTGCCATATATTGGGTGGCCTAGAACTGGATGCAGCAGTCTAAACATGATCTAAAGAGTGTTGTCTAGAGGGTGATCAGATTGACAGCTTCAAGAAACTGCTTTTTTTAAAAGACACTACTCAATTGGTGATTACATTGCACCGATCTATAATTTTTCACTAAAATGCCAAGCCATTTCTCATTCAGAACACACTGTGTTGTGTCACAATCTGGAGGATTATTAACTTTTATTAATTCAAAGTATCATTTGCATGAAATATGCTCAAAGCAATTTGAATGCAGCTAGAGGCATTTGGGACATATTCTTGTGTTACAGTGGTACTGTACTAAGGAAAATCCACAGTATGGTAATAATTACTGTGTTTTATTTTTTAATATTTTTTAGAATGAGAAATTAACCTAATAGGAAGCCAAAAAAAGTATATTATTCCAATTAGAACATCTTGAGGAGGTTTCTGCTATTTCTTAATGAATGCTCTTGAGCTAAGATTGTACAAAAATACAGTAAAATCATTAATATGCTACCTATTTATTCCTAGTTCTGCTGAGTGTGTGAAGTTGTTCGGTATATAAGAATGGAAAATAGCTTTTCTATGAAGTTCTTATGCTAAGTCCTCGTTGCTGAGGTGATCCATAGATCAGCTAAACCCAAATGTTCCTAGAAGTAAAATTCTTTATTATAGCTAAAGTCTGGTTGTTTTTGCTTATTAAGTTCTGCTTCCCTTTCTTCAGGTATGCAGGTGAAGCTGGAAATTATTCCCTTGTAATGTTTGCAGCTAGGCACTTTTGGAATGCGTGTTTACCCTTGCTGGGCTCACCACATGACAGAGAACAGTTTAAGGAACCTACTGAAATAATTCTTAAGAATATAATTAAAGCAGAATCTAAAAACAAACAGGTAAGAATTTCTAATAGGTATTGCTTGTTTTTAGTGATTGGTGCTGATGGTAAAGAACCTTCAAGATACCTATCCTAAGAGTCAAAAGTGACTTATTTGTCTAAAACACATTTCTGCTTTCTTACCTGCAGTTACATACTCTTATATTCCATTTGGTGAATCTTTTGATTTTGGGCAATTGTCAAACTCACAACAGTTTTCTGCAAAGTAATTTGCTGTCTGATTTTTGCTGTAGTGTTTCACTTCATGAAGCGTACAAAAAAGTATTTCTAGAAAATATTCAAAATCCAGAATAAAAGCCACTTCTGGTAAGTATGATAACAGATCTGAAAAATATGATAACAGATCCTAAAACAGTAACTCAGAAAAAAAAAATGTTGCTAAGTTAAGGTTTCTCCCACCTGCAGACTCAAATTTCTTCTACCTGCAAAAGGAAAGTTTTACTTTGCACGTCTTTGGGTTTTTAACAGACTGTTTAGGACTTTGGCAGTAGGAAAGAGTTAAAATTTAGACTGTGCTGGGAGTTTGTGATAAAATGAAATACTTGTTGATTATGAACAGCACGTGTAGTCCAAAGGAGTCATTGCCTTGAAGCAGTATGCAGGTGATGTGTGTCATAGAACACATCTCACCAGGTGGAATTTCTTCTGCACACTGAAACTTCCATGCACATTTGCAACTTTTCTTCAAAACTCCATGGAGCTTATCCATTTCTCTTTCTCGATTTGATTTACATGTCATTTACATTCAGCAATGAAGCTGCTGTGAGTTTCCCTGTACATTTCCATGGGCTCAATTTCAATGAGCCCTTGAAGGAATTGTTGATGACTTTTACTTCCAAGCTTGGTGGTACAAATTTGAGTCTACATCTCAGATCATCAAGTAGCATAGTACAAGAATAGAAACTTTTATTTTGATTTCTCATCAAGCCATGTATAAATCACAAATAATCAGAGATAATCTGTTTATTGGTCTGTAGGAACTGATAACTACAATGTATACTTGGAAGCACAGTGATAATTGCGAGTTTAATGGAACTTTGACAGTATTTAGATAAGTTACAGTAATTGCCCATAGACACAGTCCTAAAGTTGATTTGTAGAGATATATTTAAAACCAATACAAAGGAATACTCCAGTCTGTGTATATAGTTAACTGTCTGCCACAGCATAATTTCAGAGTGAATCCTTATTGAGTGGTATTAAAAAGCAATTATATGTAGACAATTAAAATTTACAGTTATAGGTAGCATAGGTATTTTTATGTCTGAAAATGTTAGTGGCTGACAAAGCTGTCAACACAGTGTTAGTAATTCTTAGTTGGAAGTAGCTTCTGATAGTAGTTTAAAATTTCCTGTTAACAGAGTGGTCTATATTTAATTATTTCAGGAGTTGCTGAGTTTTTAAAGTAGACATACACCATAGTAACCATTGTGAGAGGCAGGAACTGGTCTCCACTGATCTTTGACCAGGATAACTGGCCAATGTTTAAATGCAGTCCCATCTGGAGAATGATCTACCTGCAGAGGGCCTGTTTTTCATCTACCAGTACTCCCAAATCCTTCAGCGCAGGACTGCTCTCGTTTCATCCTCTGGGCTGCACTGATACTGGGGTTTGCCCTGACACAGGTGGAGGAACTTGGTCTTGTTGAACTTCTTGAGGTTGCCTTGGGCCCAGTGAATCCCTGTAGGTGACATCCCTTCCCTCTTGTCAACCAACCACACCACTCACCTCGGTGTCACCAGCAGATCTGCTGGGAGTGCACTCAAACCCCTTGACTGTCAGCAAGGAAGGTACTGAACAATATTGGTGCCAGTATCTCTGGTATTGGTATCCCTTGAGGTATACCACTTGTTACTGGTTTCCACTGGACATTGAGCCATTTGGACATTGAGCCAGTGACTGTAACTCTTTTCCATCTAACTTCTCTCTGTCCAGCTCGGTAGTAGCGAGGTTAGGGGCCACGATATCAAAGGCCATACAGAAATCCGAGTGGATGGTGTCTGCAGTTCTTGTCCATTGATGCAGCCACTCCATAGTAGAAGGCCACTAAATTAGACAAACTTCATGCCTTCATGGAAGTAAATGCTGATTAGACCAAATCTGGTAAATCTTTGATGATGCTAATGTAATACCCAAAAGTTGTGGCTGTAGCTTAGTGAACTTCTTAGCATCATCGTACATGCTTTCAGTGGTTAGTGTGCCATATACAGATCTATTTGAGAAACAAGACAGTGAATTTATCTTTGAAGATGCAGAGCTGTGCTGTAGAGGAGAGAGAAACACCAAGTCTCTGACTTTTGGGTAAGAATTGGGTAAGTGATGTCAAATTTTCACAGGTAGAGTGGAGCCTACTTTAGGCAGGGGCGTAGGCAGAGAGCTCTGTAGGGTTTCTGCCAACCTCAGTTACTCTGTGACTCTCTGAGGGTACTTCATGATTTCATGTTAATTAATGAGTGGAAGCAACTGAATATTACTAAGTCTGGTTATTTTTGTATTGGGTTTGTATTATAGGACTCACTCTGGAGAAATGCCTGCAGCTTCATCTGGTCAAGAAGCTATTTAGGTTACAGATCACTATTCATATTAATAATATGGATTGGTTCACAGACAAGACAAAATTTCAATAATACTTAACTTCAGTTAATATATTAACTGAAAGATAAAGATGTATTGGTTTTGGTTTTTGCTCTTTTTTTTTTTAGGAAAAGAAAGATACATGTCCTTTGCATCAGTGGATTACAAAGGATTTTCAAAATATGGGGTTATCAGTTGGATGCTTTCTCCCAGGCACGTTCTTTCCTCTGTTTATCTGGTAATAAAAGAAACCCCAGTATTTTGTAACCATTATTCTAATTCTTCAATTATTAATAAATCGTTTGAATCTACTTCAAAGGTGCTGAGGAAGATCTGACATTGAGAACCTCCTTATATAGTCTATTATTCCACATCTATGCTGATAAAGCTGACTGGGAGACAGCCCTAAAACTCCTGGATGAAGCTATTCAAGTTTTGCCTCAGACAAGACACAGACTGTAAGTTGGTTGACTTATTTTTATTAAAATAGGCATTTTAGTTCTTGAGAAGTATAAAACTCCTGAGTATTTTTTTATTTTGCATTGGGAAAGTATTATGATTACTTTTTAGTGGCCTGTCCTTACAACACAAAATATTCTTGTGCCTTTTCCATGAAAAAGACACACATAGACAGTGCTTCCTATCATTAATCTGCTAATAATATTTGTAAATTTAATTTTTAAATAAAAATTATACATGTCTTACTTCCCAAGCAAATAGATGCATGAAATGTGGCTTTATAGCAAGAAATTCCTAGATGCAAAGGCATCTTCATTAAATGGAAACTAAATTGTTTAGGGAACTGTTAACATAATCTTCTCTGAGTTGGTTTCATGCCCTTTTATGCCAGTTTATAAACTTTGCATCTTTGCACTATACTGATATGAACTAGTGTATGTGTCTTACTCACAAAGTTCCTTTACAGGTACAGACACAAGTAATTTGTAATTTGTTTGATCTTTGTTCTAGCCTGATTTTCAAACTTATGGCTACAGTGAGAGCAGCATCAGGATGCAATTTTATGATGGGCATTCAGAAAGTCAGTCATGAAAGTGAAGATTATTTGCCACATGTGTGGCGACACTTGGTCACAGTCTCCAGAAGTATTGTTGGACAGTTGAGCTGTTTTCAAAATGCCATCATTGCTTTACAGGTTTGTCTCTCCTTCCTATTTGTTCCCATGCTGATAGAATGATGTTTCTCAGGTGATTCATAGGACTGCAAGTTCCTGAACGGGTGGGGGGGGGCACATAATTTTTTATAACTTTGAGATTCCTTTTCAGTAAGAAAACTCTCTGTGGTTGAATCTTAATATACAGTAAAATTTTATTTGAGTCCGGCCAAAGAAAAATGTCTAAGAGTAGCAAGTGGTTTTAATAAAATGAAGATTTAACTGGTGAAACTTTGGAATATCATGAAACTTTACATAAAACTTTAGAATATAATTTTGATTGTTTGCATAAACAAATACAAATTAACTCCTCCTTTATTATTTTTATAGAAACAAGAAGCTGAATGGCAGAGAGTTGATTACCTGATGGAATTTGCTGAATGCTTATATTGTAATCAGTTTCCCCTTAATGATGCTATTAAACCTCTGGAGTGGGCAGTAGATCTCCTGCTCCGTATGAAATTTCCTATGCAATCCTCACAAGAGGAAGGTAAATAATGGTTGTTTTTTCCTTAAGAGGAATTTCTCAGCAGGAAACACAAGCGAGAGTTTCAATTTACGGCTTAGTTATCAAAAAGAATGGCACAAGTTTGCCTGTATTTTCTCATGAATTTACTGTAATTTATTCAATGCAAGTTCAGTTCATCTGTGAATTCTGTGTTATGCTGCAGAGACTTACCCTGTCTTTTGGTATGGTAAGATACTGCTCCCCTCTGACAGCGGGGCTCCTGAGATGTGAGATGCTACCAGAAAGCAGTGCTGGACAGTTTGTTTCAAATGAGTTCTCATGAAGGGACAGATGAAACTCAAGGAAATCGTTTCTGTGTCAAGATTTGGGTACCTAAGTCCGTTACCCTTTCCTTGGCATTATCTTAGCATTAATTTGGCAAAAATTACTTTCAAAGGGATGTATGCCCTCAACTACTTCTGTAAGTGTAAAAATTCTTTGCTTCTTTTACACAAATATCAACTTGTACTGGTATGACCTTAGTGACTGTTCTGGTAGGATACCCCAATATTCATTTGGGAAAAAAGAATCTGATTTCTGGAACCATACTGTCCTGTGTGACATTAATGAACATCTTCTGTGCTGTTCTTTTTTGTTTGAATAGACATGGATCAGACAAGTACTTCTGGTGTTTTCATTGAGGAAGATAAATATGCAGTGTGTCTCCTATCACACACTTGATTAGTAACAGTAGCGATATTCTGTTTATACGTTCCTGTTAGTGGGGTTTTTTTGAGGGTTTTTTTTCACAGTCCCATGGTGATTTAAGTTTTGTATTAGTTCTGTAATGATCCTCCACCCAGTTTCACCTGTTTGCTTGTGATTACTATCCTTACACCACTTAAGTTTCAAGAAAATTTTTGCAAAGCTCTTAATGGAAAATCAAATAATATAATAAGGGAAATTAGATTCAAATATAGAACAGCCCAGGTTGGAAGGAACCTCAAAAGGTCATCTGGTCCAGCCTTTTGTGGATTTCATCTCTCTATCAGGCTTACATCATTTATTATACTGAACTGTTACATTGTTGATTAAAAATATGGCACAAGTAGCATTACATCATTTTAACAAGAGCACCTGTAGTAGATAGATTTCCATTTTTCTTTTTTCCCCTAAATATTTTCGTTTTCAATTTAGCAATTTTAACTTTTAAATACATTTTTACAATGCTGTCACTGTGAGCATGTGTTTGCTTTTTTTAAACAGAAAACAATGCTATACCAAAGTTATTGCCTACAGAAAATGCTAAGATGGACAATGAAGCAAATGGTACCATGCCCCAAATTAATTTGGAAGACTTGAGCAATATTAAACAACTAGAAGCTTTGTTTAGAGCCCAGACATTAATGGCTTTATTTTCTGGTCCTGGTTCTTCTTTTCATCAGCAGCACTGTTTGATGGCCTATGCCTGCATCGCGCGTATCTGGCAGGTGAGCTCCTGTGACATCCTGTGCTGTGCTCTGGTGCTCCCACCTTGCCAGGACATTTCACATTTCCTTGTGTAATCATGGTTGCAGCTCTTCCTTTAGTGTTTAACTTTGTCCTTAGAGTTTTCTGTTTTATGGTGCAGTTAGCATATTTTCTCAGGTTTATGGATTAAACAAGAAAATGTTTCTCTCAGGAAAATGGAGAGGCTAAGGATAAAAGCAGTGAGCCATCGTTTTTCTGACATCCATACATATGTTTTGTGCAATAAATTATCAACTTTCTTATTTTTAATTTGTTAAGGAATCTCTGTAGTGGCAGAATACATACTTCAGTATGTATTTCTGGCAGTTCTGAAGAATGGTGATTTCAGGTAGACTGTCATGAAATTGAATCAAAAGGGCTGACATTTGACTGAAAGGAATTGTAGAGGCCGGCAGTGTTCACTGATTGATTTCTCTAATTACTTTTTCATAGTTAGAGCACTTCAAGTCAATCAAATCTACTTCATTTCTCATAAATATGCCCAATTGAAATGACAATTCAGAATCGCAGCAATGATCATAGGAAAACAATTATATGTTAAGTAAAGTAAATATTTGAAGGGACTAGATATGTACTTGATAACAGTAATGCAGCAAATCATTATAGGAACAGTCTCAGTTGGGACCTATCAACTAGATTGGTAAGCTATAGATTATGTATAGTTTTATTCCAATTAGAAGTAAAAGCCTGCAATTTGTTATCACTTAATTGTGGTAATTATAAGCAAGAATTCATTGTGAAATCAGTTGAACATGTGATGTGAGATAGGAATTTGCAAAACAGGAATATTGATATTTTCAGATTTACTACAAGCATAGCTTATAATATCCAACACTTGACTGTGTCTTACTAGGGAAAAACTGCCTGAAGACAGTACTACTGTTTGAATAAGCTATTAAAACTAAAATTTAAAAGAGTTGATGCTGCTGTCAGTGCCAGTTGTAGGATAATGATAGTAATTCTAGGAATCATATTTACAGCTGAACAGTATTGTGAGAAAAGGAATAACCATGTGGTATTAAAGGAATTAAAGTAGTGCAGGACACCTTATTTTGGCCTTCAAAGTAAAGCAGACCTGACTGCAGACATCCACTTCAAAGCAGGCTCCTTGGTGTTAGGATTCCATAAATAACTCAGTAGAAGATTTTAAACATTCTCTGAAAAAATCAGCTGCCTCTGACTTTTAAAAAGATGTGTTACCTTTAATTTGAAATTTTTATTTGTTGTGAGTATCCAGAATTATTTTTTTATTCATATTTTGTATTCTACTCTTGATTCCTGCAGTAAAACATGTTCTTCTCAAATTAATGTGATGTTTATTTTATTTTGTTTGTTTGTTGTTTGTTTGGTTTTGTTGTTGTTGTTGTTTGGAGGTTTTGTTTGTTTTCAGTTTTGTTTATTGTTGTGTTTGTTTGTTTGTTTAATTTTAGGTAAGATCAGAATATATGCTCTTGCTTGTGCAGAGAAAGTTTCAATTCATTCTTTTGTACACTTAAATATTTAGAAATATCTTTTGTGTAATATTCAGTAGTAGCATTGTAGCAAACTAACCCAGAAAGAGGACAGAGTGACTCTGCTGTCTTGCAGATTACTTCCTTATAAAATTCATCCCTTATATAATATGAAGCTAGTTAGACTGGTGGCTTGAAAAAACCAAAGAATTGCATTTGCAACCATATAGGATACAAAAAGGTAGCAGTAGTATTTATCACAGGGATGATCTTGTCTTTTCACAGTTCTGCTCTTAATTGTATTGCCATGATTGTCCTACATGCTTGTACAAAAATTGCAAGCATCCAGAAGTCTCTGAAATTGTTATTTTTTCGAAGAAAACTATTACACAAACAGAATATGTTATATGACAATTGTTAATAGCTGTAGATAGTGACTTGCAGTGAATAATAACTATTACTAGACACTCAGGTTTGGGGTTTTTTTACATTACAAATTGAAAATAATTAACTGTAATTATTTGATTGTCTAGGTGTCATTGACAGCATCAGGGCTTATTACAAAAGCATTCTCAAAGCCTTCACAACCTGCAGGTTCTCAGAAAGTGAAGTTAAAGACTCCTAAAAAGAAACAAGTAAGACCCACTTTTCTGAGGATTTAAAACAACCCTCTCTTTCTAAGAGATTTTTCCCTGGGCACATTTGGTAAATGGTTCAGATGCTTTCCTGTACTGGCTCTCATAACCTGGGAAGAATTTCTGTGCGAGTGTGTGGATCCCACCTTCACTCTTGATCACACAGCCTTGACAGATAATGGATTTACAAACACTTTTTCTTTTGTTTGTTGCCTTGGTCAAATACTGCTGTTTTGTAACATCCACGGTCTGGAGATCTAAAAAACACCCCAAATCTGACAGTACTTCAAAGGATATTAAGCAAACATGTACATTTTTTTTTAGCTGAATATTTAATACTAATAGGAGTATTAATTTGATCTCATAAATGTTCTTGTTTTTATTATAGGCTGAAGTTTCTGTTTCAAAGGAGAAGCCTAAAGAGAAAGAATCAGTTGATACCTTGCCAGCAGATGTGGAAGAATGGGCCCAATATGACTGTCCCAATAAAATCAGAGATACTTTTAAACAGAAAACAAATAGTTACGGTATTAACTGGGATAATTTCCCAAAGCCTGTAAGTATACTCCTCAAAATTCTAGAGCATTTACTGTTTAGGAGAAAATCAGTACCAGAAAATGGTTGTATTTTAGTTTTTCTGTGTATTTTCAGACAGCTGTCCCAAATACTTTTGTATTGTAATATTCATTAATACTTCAAAAGGTGTTAGCTTGTCTTCTGCATGCTGAAATGAAGTTAACTAAGAGAAGACATTTACCAGCTTTCTGTGTACCTTGCTGCTCTTTCAGCTAGAAAGTTTCTTTGTGTCTTTTTTGAGGTTTATTTTGAAACTGAAGATGTAATTATTAATTTAAAATTTATTCTATACAAAATTATGTTTATACTGACTGAATTTTAAAAAAATTTCTTTTCAGACTTACACTTTGTATTTTATGGACCTTTTATCTAAAGAACTACAGAAAATGTTTTGCCCCCACTTGATTCTTCCGATCTTTCAGCTAGCTGAAGTTATTGCTAGTGAAGTTCTGGAATGTAGGAGTCTGTCTGATCTCTATCACCTTCGGTTTGTATCCCTTATTTATTTTAAATAAAACAGAAACTGGATGGAGTGGACCATCCATTAATATTTCACCAAGTAGTAACAAGAATTTTGGTGTCTTACTGTTTTATATTTTTAATGACTTTTAATTTGTTTTTCTTTTTTTAAAATTAATTTTAATAGAATTTTGATGAATAGGTTTGTGGAATTAAGGCCCCTAAATTTATTTATTACTAAACATGATCTCCCATGTGGAAAGCATGTGAGATTATGAAGCCTGGCCACTTTCATGTGAAAAGTTTTTGAAATGCTTTATTGGCATCTAATTGAAAAAAGCAAAGTCCAAGAAAGTTTCTATGAAAATAGTCGTATCTATTAAGTGTTCAAAAGGCAGAGTCCCTACTTGCATCAAAATATACATTGTCTACCTTATGGGCACAAAGAAGCTGCCCTTGTAAGTGCATTTTTAGAGAGATTTGTCTCCGTGACCAAAATTACGTTTTTTAAAATGGATGAGAACCTCTAAAAGTTTTGATTTAAAAGCATTCAATATGCATGGAATTGAAAATTCTTGCTGTTTCTGTTCAAGCATTTAATCATGCTTTTTTGATAGTTATTAAATAAAGTTTTCTTAGTAAGTAACAGTCCTGAGCAATAATTGTTTGCTTACTTTCTGATAGTTCATGCAGTACCACGTAATGAATCTTTAAAATGCCTGAACCTGATCCCACCAAGCAGAATAGATATTCATGTGTACAAACGTTTCTCTGCCAATTGATTACTGGGTTGCTTTCTAACAAGGCTAAAAGGGACTTTCTGGTAGGAAATTTTTTTCACCCAAGATTTGCCAGACAAATATTTTTTGTTGATTCCTCAAGATTTGTTCTTATTTCATGGTATTTTATTTATATCTATGACCCAATATACGTGTAGGAATATATTCCTCTTTACTCAGGAGACAAAAGTAGGTTAGCACATACACATTGAGGGGCAAGGGCGTGGTGGTTGCATGCTATAGTGAGACCATATCAATATTTTCATGCTTTTAGTATATAATTTTTGCCATTAAGTTGAAGAGATATGGGTTTGATGGACAAGACTGGGGTTACTGGTGGATGTCCCATCCCTGGAAGTGTTCAAGGTCACACTGGATGGAGTTTGGAGCAATCTGGTCTTGTGAAAGATGCCCTTGCCCATAACCTTTAGATACCTTTAGAAGTTCCTTCCAGCCCAAACCATTCTTTGATTCTGTGACATCTGTGAATGGGTAGTTTCCCCTGGTTCTATTTACAGTCTTTCTTATTGCCAGTATTTATTAATCAAGGCACGTGAAGGTAGAATTGACAAATGTGGAATATGTGCTCTGTATATATAATGTGCTTATATGAAGCACCATATGAAAGATTTGGATTGTTTCTTAAACATTTCTTCTTTTTATTTGTAGAATCGCCCTGATATGCTCAGATTTAAAACTGAATCAGGCATCTGTGTATCATGAGAAAGCTGCTGGAGAAGTATACATTAGTGAATTAGAGCAAGCAATGTATGTATGTTCACTGCTGAGGTGGTATTTATTTGGGACTGTTTTCCCTACAGCTGGGGGAAAATGGTAAAAATCATAACCTCAGAACACCTTTGGTATATTGGCTATGCCCTAAAAGTCTGTGCAGGTTTGGTTAGTGTCTATTTACAGAGTGGTGTATGGTAAAGATTCCTAACACTCTAATACTTTGGTATGAAATGCTTTTTAAAATCTATTTGAGTTTACGTTTTCTTTCTTGTGATTTAGGTGTAGGCAGGAGATTGCACTGAAAAAAGAAAAAACTGTAGGCATGAAGAAAGAAGAAAGAAAAATACCTTTTGAGAATGCTCAGCTTAATGGTAGTAGGAATGAGAATATCCTTACTTCAAGTGAAAAGGTTTTTATTTCCACTTCAGTTTTTATACTAAATTAATTACTCTTCCCCCTTTTTTAAAAATACACTTGCTAGTTTGTTTTTAGATAGTACTTGAGAAATACTTGAACACAAAAATCATCAAAAATGCATACTGCCTAAGTTCTGCTAGCAGTCATCTGAAGCTGAGCTGGGTTTACCTGGCATGTTATTTATATCAGGGAAGAACAAGATTGGAATCTTTATTCATACAAAGTAAAACTTTCCTACAAATGGATTTAGGGAGTAATGCAAATAGATTTAAAAGACTGAGAAGCAAAAAAGATACTGTATTCACTCTTGGCCTCGTTTTTTCTCTTCTTTCTCCATTATATTAGCATGTAAGTCTTACATACTGTTTCTATTTATTGTTTCAGGGGCTTGCAAATATTTCAAGTCTGTCTTTACTGTCTTTTCTTTAGGAAGATAATTGCCTTACTGATTTATTTAATGCTTATCTCCACTTTGCTCTTTAATATGGCAATGCTGTCTGGATTGTCATCACACCATTCTGCTCTCTTTGTATATTTTTTCCATACTTGTGCATATAACACACTTTGTTTTTCTCATTACTAATCCCTCTCAAGTCACCTGTTTTAGATCTTGTAAATAGTATTCCTTTTTGAGTTTTAGTTATTACAAAAAATCAACTTTGTGACAGCAGCATATCTGAAGTAGTTAATCTTTCGTACAGTTAGTTTAAATAGTATATACTTACTAGTTCAATGCCTTTGGAGGATTGTAAAATTCAAATCTCATAAACTACCTGCTTTTCTTGCAATATAATGTTAAATTTTGAAGTTAGAAAATACAGCTGAGGTGTGGGATATCATAGTTAATAACAACTTGTATTTATCTAGTTTGTTTTGAAATTTATGAAGGTGCATTACTTCTTTAATTTTTCAGGGTTTTGAGGTAAATGCAGTAACAGGAAAAGGACTGAGTGCACTTTCTTTCCCTCGCTTATGGATTGAAAAAGCTGAAGTACTAATTCAGCTAGGCTTGTATCAACCAGCAAGGCTTCTGCTTTCAGAGGCCCATGCTGCAACTCAGGTACAATACAAACTAAATAGAAAAAAACCCCACTAATAGCATGTATAGGGAAAATGTTCATTTTGATGCAGTTATCCCTTAGAATAATAATAATCAAACTACAAAGCCAAGCCTTCTCCTACCACCCCAAACCAATTTCTTACTAAGTTTCAAAGTATGTAATAATGTACATTTAAATATATGGCATTTCTCTCCAACCTTATGGGAGTTGTCTGAAGGTTATATAAATTTCTGGAGTAGTGTCAGCATCTCTGTCTGCTTTGCAGTGGCCTAGGAAGAAATAGGTATATTTCAACATTGTTTGTTTAAATAGGTGGGAAACGTTCAAGGTCTGTTCAGGAGAAAGAGAGAGCATTTAGCTCCATCCTCTCAATATTTTGATCGTTTGAAAGTCTGGTTATTTCATTTTGAATTCTATTAAGGATTTACTGTAATGTTTTGATAAAATGGAAATTATTTCCTAGCATTCTGGAAAATCTGACATAAGTGTCAGTATGTTCCACCAAACAGATCCACATCATCTCATTATTATGAAGGATTATACATTACAGATATTTTCCCTTTAGCTAACATTTTTCACTATAGCCCTTTGCTTCATTATGATAGTTATTGAAATATAATTATTGCAGTAAAGCCTTTACTTTAAAAAATGTAATTGATATCCTGTTATTCTGTGTAATAATTTTTCTTATGTAAGGAAAAATTTCCTATGTAAATTTAGTATAATCATGAATACTTTTAATAATAATATACGAATGATATTCATGAATAATATGTGCCCCTTTATAAAATATTAATTAAGCATTGTATATTGAGGAAAGTTCAAAATACTTTACAGAGGACAGTAATTTTAGTTATGTAATTCATCAATAGTATCCTGTAGGTTTGTATGCTGGTATATAAATACTATACAATACTTGTCTCTTAGACAGGACTAGTTATATAGTTTATTGCTAGTGTAAAGCAGTCTTGTGAGTTCACTGGGTCTCTAGGGTATCTGTAGAGTTCACAAAAACATCTTCTGTCACCACATTTCTTCATCAGACCCTGGCAAACACTAACAGATATATACATACTAAATAATAGCAGAAAAATAGCTTATTTGACTGGTGAGTTAAAGAAAGAAATATGAAGTAGATGTACTATAAGGAGTAACTAAGAAATTCAGCAGGTACTTGGGGGAATAGCACTCGATTTTATTTCCATAAGCTTAATCTGAAATATGGACAGACATACATGGAATAGCAGCAGGATTTCTGGTGTACAGATCACATCTCTTTCTTTCTAGGAGCTGGGGGCCCGATCTGATGTGTCAAGGTGCTTGTACTTACTTGCTGTGTTGGCTAACCTGGAAAGAAACCACAGACAAGCTCGAGCGCTCCTTGAGCAAGCCCAGCTGCTGGGGGGAAACGAGCAGCTCTGGTACAACTGTGCTCTGAGTGTGACAGAGGCAATTCTAGAGGAGCAGGGGGAAGGAAAACAGAGCATGGTAAGGACATTTTTAGGGTTTGGAGACTGTGGCCTTTTTCAGCAGTGGTTTCTCTGAGTGAAATATTATAACATTTGCATTTCAATAAAAGCAAAATTAGGTGCTAAATGCACCATTTCTCTGAGCATTTAATAGACATTAATTACAGATTCCAAACAGATGCAGGCCTCTAGGAATGAATGAAATTCTACCCAGTGAAGTTTAGGATGTTTTTGTGATAAGCTGTATATTCTTCTATTGGAATAAAACCAGTTATAATCTAGTATGTATGACTAAATCCCAGAGATCTGATTCTTTTGTATTCAGACAGTTCTGTTAACACTGGTGTGTTTATTTTTCATATTCAATAAAAATCATAGCTTTCAATAGTATTTTCTATTATGCTTTTCCTTCCCAAGTATTTAAAATAGTTTTACAAACATTATTTCTAGATTCTGGAAGATACTTCTATACCACTTTTTTTTTTTTTTTTTTTTTTTAACTAAAACCCAATAACATCAAAATATCCATTTACTGTTAAATCATTAACTTTGATGAGTTTCAGCATAAATAAAGTCTCATATCTGTGATGATCTAACCTGTCTTGATACACCATTCAAGTCTGTGTCGTGTAGAGGGATTATTTTGATTTTGACTGAACTCGTATTTGCTGTCTTTCACTGTGTACCTCCGAGATGAACCTGGCTCCGTCTTCTCTCTTTCTGTGTATGTGACTATTCATGTAATCATCGAGGTATCTAAGTATAATCATGACTCAAACTTTCTAGGCTTATTGACAGTTATCAAAAGCCAGGCATCTTGGGAATAATTAACATGTTCTGTAAAAAATCGAAGCTTTCTAAATGAGCGATTATTATTATTCATAGACATTTAAAATAGAACTATGAAAATTCTGGTGTTACCTGCAGGCTTGCGAGATCCTGGAGCAAACTGTAAATGTGCTTCGATCTACTTCACTGAAGCGACCTGGAAGGCAATCAGAATTGGGTTTTATGATTGCATCCCTTGAAGCCAGGTAAGCTGTCTTTTCTCTAAAATATGCCCAGCTTCTAATACACAGCTATATTGCAAATATATGTAATTTTTACAATGCTGTCTTATTTTAGAATGACAAATAATGTAGATTCTCAAATATTTTTGTTCTAAGTCCTTTATGGGGTTGGTTGTTTTTTTTTTTAATTTAAATTTCTTTCCAAATTTCCGTATTTCCTTCCCAAATGCATGCACGTGGCCCTACTCCCTGTTATATTGGTAAACTAGACACCACAACATCTTGTGCTGGACTTGCAGTACAGGCTTGTGTCTGCCTAGGGAGGGGTGTCTCTTGGAACACTCCCACAGCACTGCTGCAGTCTGCAGCACTGCTGCTGTCCTCACCACGAGCCAAAGCTTGTTCATGGTGAAACCAAACAATGATTTCAGTTCCACTGAAATCCGAGCACAGACACCTTAAAATGCGCCGGTAAAGGGAAAGAGGTACACAACACTTACCCTCCTGTCTCTTTCCATGAATGGGAAGCTTTCAATTAGTAATGGAAGACAATTATCAGTCTTCTCAGTTCATCTGTATTTAGAAGACTAATTAGACCTAGTAAGATGGAATAATTAGATACAGAGAGCAAGTGACATCTCTAATCTCAAAATATAAAACTTGGTTTCTTTCAGAATTACTATAATTTGTAAAACACACATTTACGATTTTTTTTATGTTTTCTTAGAATTTAAAGGAAAGAAGAGAGAAATGTGCCTGTTCTCAAAAACAGCCTGTGCTTTCTGACTGCTACCTTGTATTTCATTTTTATTTCTAGAAAAACACTTATTCAGATACATTTTGCCCAGGATCGTATGACGCTTAATGGCAATTCTGCTCAGTTGCCACACATTCTACAGGAATCCTACAATAAATTAGTTCAAGTTGAGAAGAACCTTTTTCATCATGGGCATAAAAACTACAGTGCTGAAATACTGCTGGAATGTGCAAATATTCATAGGTAAGACTATATCTCTATTGAAAAATTTTATTTACGTTGAACTAGTCCATGAAGTGTATTGTGTACATTTTATAGTCTAATTAAGATGGAACAGAGCAAATAACATTGCTAGGTTTTATATATTGGTCTTAGATGTCTGTTTGCATTCTTCATGTGTTCTGTATTCAAAAAAGTACTGTAGAATCAAAAATTGTTTTCACTGAAGGCAGAGTTCTCTTTTGTGGTCAAAACAAAGTGTCAGGGTCTCTTAAGTCAGCTTTTTGACTTCCCGTTTGTAGAAGTATTTTAGCAGCCACACCAATCATTCTCTAGATTTTACAGCTTTTACAATTCTTACTGTTGCAATGTTTCTCTAGAAACTGCTGCAACAGTAAAAGTGCAAAACATGGTATGCTTGGAATCCCAGCTGTTTGCAAGATATCCCTTAAAACAACTGAGATGTATTTTGTACCTGGTATGCTGCCGTTGTGTCCTGCTAAATACACACTCTAGAATATGATCTGCCTTTCTTCTCTTTGGCTCTTGGCATCTTCTTGCATTGCAGCAATACAGTTCTAAGAACAAGACCTTTCAGAAATAGCTTGTAAGGGTTCACTCCTCCTATTTTACATTTCAAAAACACATATACAAATTTAAGTTTTTTAATCTATAATTAATCTATTGAATCTACTAATTAATAGATTCATTATTTTATTATATATGTTCAACAGTGTTGATACCGTAAAAAAAAGCACTTTCTTACATTAGTTATTTTGAGTTTATGGTGTTGTTTTGTGTTCTTTTCTTTTTTCAGAATGACTGCCAAACAGGAAAGGAACAAAAAAGACAAACACAGTCACTATCTTGATGCTTATAACTTAGCTCAGAGAGCAGTATCCAGAACAGAGGAAGTATTTCATAGAGTTTGTAGTTTATTTGCATTTAATGAGGTATTGACTTTATTCCCCCTTACTGGTGGAAAGGAAACCTGGTTTAGTTGTAATATTCACTCATTGTTGGATAATCTCATTTGGGGCTTCCAGGAATTATCTTCTTGTAATGATTAAACATTCTTTGTATATAGAAGGAAATATTGCATGCCAAAAGAACTTACAGTTGAAAAAGGGATGAAGAGAGGATTTGTTTGGTCTTTGTCAAGTTTATTTAATTCTAGCATTTATCTAAGTAGCTACAAAAGAAAAAAGTATAAACCTAGAACTATTTTTGATTCTCTAAATATCTTCAAAGTTTAAAATTCTTCAAAATGTCTTTCTTCTCAGGAGAAACAAAAAGACTTCACAAAACATTATTATAAATAGTGTCTGTCTTCAAAATATTTTGGGAAATGAAAGCCTGCAGCCTACTTTGTAACTGTCTATGTAGCATTATTAGATATTACATGTTTGTACTGGGTACATAAAACGTGAAAAGCAAAAACCCAGCTGCTCTTATTCTGTGGAGTTACTTTGATTGCCTTGTAATATATTTGATATTGAAGTTTTTCCTTTAAATTACTAAAGTATCTTCATTGCAATATTTCTGCTCTATCAAGGTGATAATGCTAAAATGTTTGTTTCTTTGGTTAAAAGAAATACAACATTCTAACTTCTTATCAGGTTGATTTGCAAAAATACTTGATATTAAAATTCTACTTTCTTTTGTATTTCAGAATAAAAATGTTAGTATGCCAATAATGAGGCAATTAGCTCTTAGAAAAATAAATCTTGTAGAAATTCTTTTGGATATTTTTCATCTTGTCATTAATGAGAAAAAGCTTAAAAATGTGGGAGAAGCATCATTTCATGAATTTATGGAGGAATTAATCATTGAAGATGATGCAATAGAACAGGTATTACAAAATATTTAGTCCTATGATTTGCATAAAAGGTATAATAAGGTTTCCATAGCACAACTTCTTCCCCTACTGAAGAAATGGGTTCCCAGCCCAGTGATGTAGTTTTGTAGCAATGGAGGTTGAAATGTGTGGTTTTAGTCTTGGGGATGCTTTACTGGCCACCCTCCCCTTATCCCAGGTTTTCCTTGGCACTGGTTGAACTTTGCTTAGGGATATTACATTGAACTTTTTTCTAAATCAGTTGTTAATGAATTTGTGTATCTCTTAAAGAGAGCTCATTTACAGTTGGAAGTATAATCACATTTTACATATGTATTTGTATGTGAATATATATGTGTTACTTTGAAAAAAATACATTCTTCTGTCTGTGTGGGGATATATGAGCAAATAAATATGAATATGTATTTTACCAGGATTGGAAGTACATGAAATGCACCATGGCTCACATTTCACTGGCTCAGTTAGCAAACATACAGAATCTTTGCAAAGGCTGTCCCAACATCAAATCCAAATGCCTGTATCTAACTGGGAAAACCCTTCATTTACTTGCTGTTAATGTGGATCCTGTGTATTCAGAGATTTACTGGAAGCCAAATGTTATGGTATGCATTCTTTCCTTCAGTTAAATTTCTTTTTCTGTGTAAAGTTTATCTGCTCTAATATTTTTCTGTATACATTTGTATAAAAGCTGCTCTCAATGTAGAGCTATTAAGCTAGAGGTTTTATATACTGCATGCAAGCCATAATTAAAATGGATGGCAAAATTAGTAATTTCAAAAACATGCTTCTGTCTACATGCCATCCTCATGTAGCTCATTTTTTATTTGTTTGTGAGATACACTTATTAGCAAATTTTCAAAAGAGAGAGAGAAAAATTTCTTGAATGCCTTAAAGGGCGAGCGAGATACGGTCTCTGAATCCATGTGATCAAGAAGTATTGATTTGTAGGTTAAAATCTTGGGTTTGAGAGTTCCTTTTGTGTTGGAGTAAGAACCCCATGTAAAAAGAAGGGGAGTTGATGGAGGCATTATAAATTCAGTGACAAATTAAAAGTTTTCAGAAGAAATGAGTGAAGGACAAATATGAGAAAGTCAAACTCTTAGAGGTTGTATGAGGGGGTCTTTTTAGTTGATGTTGGTCAAATTGCCTTTGTAACATACTAAGAAAATTTGATGGTTGATAGTATTACTAAATTTCTCACTATGAAGGAATTATGGTAGTGTTTTCTTTTAGGATTTATTCAGTTTTCACATAAACTTTCACAAAGAAATGAAGCCTTCCTTACTTAATGGAGTGATTAATTATTCCCTTTTTTTGTGCTGTGATGGGTAGGAAGATGCTAAATCAGACATCAGAAAATCTTCGCTGACTTCAGCAGAATGCAGTGAACAGGACATGACAGAGAGCAGTTTATCAACTAAGAAATGTCATCAAGATAAGTATAGGAGGAAAATACAGGAACTAAAGGTACATTACTTTATGACCTTGCATTAGAATTTGAGTGCCTTCTTTTTATGAAATAATAGTCAAGTTGGCTTATCAGTTCTGTTTAGACTGATAATGAAAATGTTGTAACAAAAACTTGGTCTTAGAAAAGAAAAAAATCTACACAACACCTTCCAACAAACAGCTTTCCATCACTCTCTGCTGTGTAGCTTTGTCCCACTCCTTAACAGATTGTGTGGGAGCTCCTGAATGAGCTTACCCAGCTGCTCCCAGAAAGAAATAATTTCTCCTTCAGTGCTTTCCCACGGATTGAGCTTGCAGCAACCAGGATTAGATGAGCAGGCAGTTTCTTTCTGCCTCACGGGTACAAGCCTCACAGGTACAGCTTTTTAAGGGAATGTAATATTTTGCAGACTGGGAACAAAGAAAGAAATTACTTCCATCACAAAACATTTGTGAAATTCAGTGAGCTGATCTCTGTTAGTTACTGCAATTGAAAGCACACTAGGAATTGGGAATGTGCAGTTTGTGTTGCTAGCAAAATCAATAAGTACTGAGGTAAGAGATTCGTGGGTTAATTTGGACTAAATATGGTTAACTGTCCCCAGAAACAATTGTATTGATCCTTGGTTCTGAACTGCTCATATTGCTTGGAATTGAAACTCTGTTCTGCTGGGTACACATTTTATATTAGAAGAAATTTCTGTGTTAAATATTTTTTTAACGTTGTATAACAGATGTTGGTGTCTGCTAAAAAATAAATCCATAGTTGTGTATTTTTGATCATACATTAAGTTCCTTAAAAAGAAAATGCATTAAAATTACTCATTAAAAAGCGATACTTATCCTAGCATGCTGTGGTTGGTGTATGTATAACAAATACTTCATATTAGCCAATTTTAATATTAAGCTTGTTATTTTTATCATCTAGACACAACAAAGGATGGCACAGAAGTATCTTTCTCAATCCAGTGAGGCTTTGCTACAGTCTATGGCTGTTGCATTCAGTCATAATGTTACCGATGTGCTGGCTCTTGCTAGTTTGGAAATGGCTGAATGCTTTAGACAGTTTGATCCAATTTCAACTACCCAGTTTTTGGCACTTCATCAGGTAAGGCAGCTAATGTTTGTGCTGCTTTTCAGTGGGAGGATGTTTGAAGCTGCATGAACTAAACTGTGTTTGCATAGTCTGAAAATTGATTGTACAGAACACATGTAGGGTTCTGTGTAAGAACCGGTGTGTAATATAGATCATCACATATATTATAAATTTGCTAAGTTCAGAACATTTTATCAGTGTGTTTTAAACAGTTCTGGTATCTGTTGTGTTTGACCTGACATTTTCATTGATGATCGCATATATAAAAAAAATTTAAGAGGAATAAATTACTATATTGTAATTAGCAAAGATAAGACATTGCCACAAAATACAGTTTCATCCCTCTCTAGCAAATAATTTTTAAAATGTTTCTCTGGATTTGTTCAGTCCTTATTTTGAAGTGGAAAATTCATTTTGCATTCGGTTTGTCGGACTGATACCTGCACAGCATGGTCCTGTAGATGGATTGAAGGTGCATGCAAGTGAATATGTGCCTCCATCAAAGAGAAGATGCAGAATGGCTGTAGGGTTTATATTCCCTGCATCAGGAACAAGTAACACATAGTTCCTAGTTCAAAGGACAGGATTAATACGTTTGCTGAAAGAAAAGTTTATATAGTCTTACCCATTCTTTTGCTCTTTGTAGAAGTCTGTTGTGTGGTCTGATGGGTGACCATTAAAGCACAGAAACAGAAAAGACTCAGCTTACTTGAAACACAGTATTTACCATTCCACGTAGACCTTAGATGGCTAAATGCAGGAACCTTGATGATAAATGTAGACAAAGAAATCAATTCCAGATATTTGTATTTAAGAGCTCTTCCTTCATTATTGTCAGACTGTTTACATTAACCTGTAAGAACAAACAACTGTCTTCTGCTAGTTCATCTCACCTTTCAAGGAAGAGAACTTATCTGTAACCTATGTTATAAAAAGCATAGTGTATATTTATTTGTTTTATTTCTGTGAAGGAAAATAAATAGATGTAAAAATTTTACAGAGTTGTTCAGTGTCTATGAAGATGAAGAGTATCCTTCTAACGGCTACATCCAACACCAGCAGCTCTCAGCTGGCAGCGTTGCTGCATCTTCAAAATCAGTTAATACAAAACAGAAACACAAGTGATCTTCTAAAATGTGTGGAACAGCAACTGACTGCTAATTCAATGGTAACTTTCTGAGCTACTTATTGGGGGGTTATATATATGTTATACAAAGGCACACAGAGATATATGTGTGTGTATACAGGACATGGGCTAGTGGTGGGCTGGCAGTGCTGAGAGCGTTGGACTTGGTGGTCTCCGAGGGCTTTTCCAACCTGAACAATTCTGAGATTGTAAGAACCACCCCTGCACCTTCCCCTGCTACTAAAATCTGCCACATAAACCAAATACAATTTTATAAAGTACTTGTTGGTTAGGTATCTAGCAAAGTTTTTTTCATAAATAAATGTAACTATTAATTATTCTACTTATTTCCTTTGCTAATACCCTGCTAGTATTTGATAGCATTTTTAACCTCAGAAATTTTGTAGCTGTCATAAAAGTCATGTTGTCATGAAGAGTGGACTAAGATACAGTATTTATAAATAGTTTTAAATTATTTTAGTATGTTCTGCACTGCACAAAAATTACATGGTCATAGAATAGTTGAGGTTAGAAAAAATCTCTGAAGGTCATCTTGTAACCTCCCCTGCTCAAGCCAGGGCCACCTAGAGCCTGTTGTCCATGACCACATCCAGATGGCTTCTGAATTATCTCAAAGAATGAGGCTCCACAGCCTCCTTGGACAACTCGTGTCATGCTTGCTTCCCTCCCAGGCAAGCAGTAACTCCTGCTGTTTGGACAGAGCCTGTTGCCCTGGCACATCTGCTGAGTGTTTGGATCTTTAAGTATCTTCTTGAACTACTATCAGTTTTCTAATGAAAGAACTGAGAATGGGGTTTATAAAGTCTATGAAAATAATAGTACTTTTGAACAATTGTACAGGCATGGAGAAACCTCTGTATTCCTGCTGAGCATTTTAATATAGTGAATGAATTGCCGTCCAGTTTCTACATAGTTATTCTCCAGCATTCAGAAGACAGGTATAAAATTTCATCGTTTTGATTTAGCACTGTTTCTTACAAATATAATTTTTTTTTTTTACCTGGTTGAATATTGCCTTTCACTTCTAATTTTGATGGACTTGAATTTTAGGATAACGAACTAATTAATATATAAATAAAACTGCCTGCAGCTCAGTTGTACGTTTTCTGTTCTTTCATTTTCCCTAATTATCTCTTAAATCTCCAGAGGTCACTTGAAATGTTTCAGGCCATTCTTGATATCTCTCCTAAGTTCTGTCAGGAGTTTCCTGCTTTTATTGCTTATGGTCTTGGAAATGTTTGAAGGGGTCATATTTAGCTTTATAAAGCCACCAATTATCTGATTATTGCAGCCTAATTAGCTGCAATAAACTAGCTCATAAACTGAGCTATAGCAGCTGACTATGAGAGCATTCAGCAATTTAAAAAGTCTTTAACACTTTTCATGGAACAAATAGAAATCTACCTTATTGGTTATATAGTAATAAAAGAATTTACCTTACCACTCTCAGTTTGTTCCAGCTAGAATCTGCAGGTTTTTGCACTGAAGGTGGGGGTAGTTAATGCATCGTGAGAGTGTTTGTGAGCACATTAAATTAGAGGGCAATAATTACTCATCTGATAAATCTGAGTCATATAAACAAGGCTAGACAGTCAAATACTCTATTCAGCACTTTACTGCTTTCCACAGGTCACAGCTGTACAGCTCATTGATTGAGGTGCCCAAAGGAAGTTCTGCACAGCAGAAAGGAAGGCTCACACAGAGGATGGGTAAGTACCTCTTACTTTTAAGAGACAGAAATAATTGCAGTGATGTTATGAGAAGGCTCTTATCTTTCACTGTTGCAGTTAGCAAAATTTTGAAATACTTTTCCAAATAATTTTGACTCTTCTTAATTACAAAGGAACATAAATTCAGAAATATATCTTTCATTATCAGACGTCATGTAACAATTTATATAATTTTTGTTTATATTTGAAGGCTGAAGTTGTTATAAGTAAATAATAATAGAGTTTTTTCATTGTACATTTCTGTATATATTTTGTGTTTGTATATATTTCGTGTTTATATATATATATCTGTCTAGGTTTTATTTTCAAAGAATACCACAGCTAGAAACTGATGGTGTTTGTACAATCATTTCTTCAAGTACAAATATGTCTCAAAAAGACACTTAAGAGAGTGTTATCCTTCTTTTAATAGTGCAAGCAAAAGTTTCTCGATTTCCTGTGAATCCTGATGTGTTTCGTATTTTGTTGGAAAAAATGCGTCTTTTCAAGCAGCAAAAGATGGAGAATCATCTGAAACAAGCTGTTATTCAGAACTTGCAAGAGTGTGTCTCCAAAACAGATGTGGTAATATGTTTTATTTCCTTATATTTAAAATTGGATGAAAAACATGTAGTAAAAATATGATAGACATTCTGTATGCAAAATTTTCCCGTTCATTCTAAGTGTGGCATCCCTAGTCTTCATGGTTACTATATGCTTTGTACTCTGCTTCAAAATTTAATCTTACTGTGCTCTTGCTGCTGTAGTTGTCATTCAGGAGCTTTGAAATGTTCAGTAGTTTATCAGAATTGAAATGATGCAGTTGAGATTGGTTTACTTGAAAATGTGCCATATTTCAGATTTGCATTTGCATTTGTACACTACCTTTCATATCACATGAATAATGAAAAATGTTCCAAGGAAAAAACCAAGATCTAAGATTGTAACTTAGATTTAAATAAAATAAAACTGCCTTAGCCAGAGATTTATTGCTGATTTCCAACTCAGAAAAGCTTTCTGTTGGGGCATACAGTATCTTCTGCACTGTAGCTCTTTATTTGGGTGCAGTAGATCCAAGTCAGTCTCAAAATTTTGCTTCAAGGACATGTTTTGTTGGAGTCCAAGTTTGTAGAACACTCTTAAATTCTAGAAGATACTAGTTTTCTGTAACTTTAACTGCAGGAAGGCTTGGTTCTAAAAGAACACTATCACAGTCACTTCCTATATTTAGATTTTCCATTTTATGATCTTTCACATTATTTTATTGAGTCTCTGATTTAACGCATTACAAAATTTATATATATAATGGTGTTTGACAAGGATGGACGTTGAAAGTATTCTAATTTTTGTTTCAATGTGTGTGCTAGACTCCAACAGAGAAAATAAATGGTAGTGAGATTGATTTGACATCAGATTTCTCTGAAATAATAGAAATGATGGAAGACTATCTGAAACCAGTGCTGTCACAGGTTGATTTTTCTGCTATCAGGTAAGATATATTGGCTTTGATTATCATTTGTGGAAACAGAACTGTAACTCAAGTCCCTCAAACAAAGGAATGGCTTTGGCAAGGATACTCTGTTGAATGAATGTTTCATGTCTTGAGAGAGAGTATATTCAGGACATGCCAGACTGAGGCCGAGCAAAATGATGGACTAATGGTCACTTCTGACAAACACTGCTCTCCAGCTTAGTTACACTTAAGTTGAAGCTCAAGATGCAGCATTATAATGAAACTGTTTAAAGATGGGATTTCTAAAGGGCAAGAACTCTAAAGGAAGCATGTCCTTTGTGTAAAATTTCACTGAAACTGAAGCAGAAATTGAAGTTTATAATATTTTCCATGAATTTCCTCTTCCCAGAGAATCCCAGTGTGGATCAGTTTCAGCAGCTGAAACAGGAAAAAAGAAAATGAGAGATAAGGACACCAAACAAGTTGGAATGCAGGGTATGTGCTTCCTTGAGTGGGGTGTGTGTGTATGGACAGATACCAAAATCCAGTAATTTCAATTTTAATTTTATGTAAAACAAGGAGAGGACAAAGGCTTTAGCATTGTTTTTCTCTGTTTTATTTTCTACATCAAGTCAAATATTTCAGTATACTTTCAAAGACATATTTAGATGCTGGAGCAATGCTTCTGCATTTATTTAGAGTCTTCCAAACCATATAGTCTGTATTAAATGACTTTTTCACATTAAATGACTTTTTCACAAACCAGCTTTTCAGGAGAAAAGCTAGAATAAAGAACTTTCATAAATTGGTAGATATTTTTGTTTTTGTTTGGGGGGTTTTTGTTTGTTTGTTTGTTTGTTTTTGGGCTTTGGGGGTTTTTGTTTGGTTGGTTGGTTGGTTTGGGGGTTTTTGGTTTTTTTGGGGTTTTTTTTTGTTTTTTGCTTTTAACTTTATAGATTCTCAAAGGTTTTTAGTTTGCATACAAGCCTAATGCTACAGTATGTCTCTAAGCACATCTCAAGAGTAGTTCTGCAAAAACTGGCTAAATCTGTAGAACAGAAACATTGCCATCATAATATTTAATACTTTTATCCTAAATAACAGAAACAAATTTTTTCTACAGGACAACACAGTATTGAATAAGAGTTCCTTTACAACTCTCTTCTGTTTAGCCAATCGCTGCTGTGCCAATTTTGCATTTCCAAACCTTGTTTTCTTGAATGTATTGCACATACCTGGGCTTGGACCCGAGATGGTTGGTTATTAATGTGGGGATATTTTTCCCTCTGGTGATAACAAGTGCATAGAAATTGGAGAACATCTTAAGAGTAATGATATAAACAGAAATGTTTTTCTTAATGCTCTTAATCCACAGTACAATGAAGTTCCTGTGCCATACAATGGAGGAAACTTAGATTTTTACATTTAACTACAATTGTTTATATACAAACTGAGAACTAAATCTCAATCATGTCCTGTCCCATCTCTTTAGATAAACCTGTGGATTTGGGATTATGTGTGGTATTACTAGTGGATACATTACTTATGGAATTGCCTTTGGAAGCTCTGAGTATTTTTAAAGAGGAAGGAATAAGTTCTGTCTCCAGAGATTTTTCTCTACAGTTTCTCTACAATCGACTACACTGGACTGAGTCAGGTACTATCATATTAAATATACACAGTCCTTCAAGGACATTTATTTGCTAAAACTACCAATATATTAATTTTTTTTCTTTAATTTTCACAGAAGCTGAATTTAAAAAAAATGTTGAAGTATCTAAAGAAAAAACCACAAAAGCTTCTCAGAAAAAGAATGTCCAAATGGTGAACTTTCCACGTTTTTTGTAAATAACCAGAGAATTTGCATAGAAAAGTGTGAAAGTGGTTGTATAGAAGCTCATTATGTGTGCTAGAATTCTGGAGTGGAATGAATGTCACATAAGTCCATAAGAATCTTGCTTCCTGTTGATTTTGCAAGGAGTTTTTATTTGAAAAATCACACTTTATAAATGGGACATATTTAATAACCTACAAAGGAAGATGCTTAAAATTGCTGAAAATAATTTCTGAAAAAATTACATTTTATATAGTGAATACATATGTTTTTACAAATCTATTTTATATTTGCATATATCTATATATGTGCATGCACATGTGTGTGTATGTATCACATATGTATATGCATTGTAGCTAATGCAGAATAATTAATTAATTATTAATTTCCACTGACAATTGAGTCATCATCATGGTTGCTTTTGAACACAGACTCAAAACTTTGTTAGTTGTTTGACATGCTTTCTCTTAGCTGTTTGACACAGGGAATGCAGTGCTGTTAGTATTTAATTGAAACTTTGACACCTAAGAGAATATGTGTTCTTTTTAATTGTAGGCACCAATTAATCGTGATCTACCTTCTAATTGCTTGCCTGTTGATACAAGGAATTTAAAATGTATCCTTTCACAACATATTGGCTAAGTGTATCAGCTAAATTTCCTTCTTTTGGTGTTTGAAAAGCATTGTTTGTGATTAACTGTTTATCAGATATTGTGGACCCCTACAATGAAGGAAGGGAAGCCGGTAATATATATTAAATAATATTTTATTCACAATCTACCTGTGGAATTCAGATTTGTTTTGTAACAAAAATGAAGTAATGACATCAAGATGTTGGCAAAAAAGGAGGTGATTTTGTAATCTTGTTTCCTGAAGTCAGGACTCTGGAAACTCAGTCAGTTTATCCACCCTCTCCTGTCTGAGCCTCTGCAAGGGAACCGTATGAGCAGTACGGGTTTTCCATTCTTTACCCGTTTTTCAGGGTATCTAAAATTTTTTTCCTCCTATCCTTAACCTGTCTACCAAATAATCCTAGCTCATTATAAAAAAGACCTTTCAAATGGGCACCCCAATTTTACTCTGAAAATGTCACAATTGTTTTAATTTTAAAAGCCAGACTTAGTTTTCAAAGAAGCATGAAATCCAATGATGACCTAAAACCTCCTAAATAGGATAGTGTCATTTTAAAGTTAGTTTATTGAAACTGAGATTGCCCAATGTAGTTTGTAGTATGTTACATTCATAATGATGAAATTCTGTTGTTACAGAAGCTTCAAGTCCTTCCCAAAAAATGCAGGAAATACTGGGAAAATACCGTGACCTATTTACACTGCGGTGGGAAGGTGTCCTTGGCAATATGCGTGCTCCAAGGTATGGAATATTCTATCTGCTTTTTTGTTTATCCTGTTTCTTGTTTAAAATTGTGCCTCTTTTCAAAGGCTGACTTTGTTCATAAAGTAGACATATCTTCATATGTTCGTGTTCATAAATATTGCTGAGCTGACAAACACATAGCAAACAATTTTTGCTGTATCAAACACAGGTCTAGGTTTGTAGACAGAATATTTTAGGGATGTGAAATGAAGTGCCACAAAGTGATTTAGCCAGGTTGGTTTTGTCAGAGTTGTTGTATATATAAATAAGCTTTGATGGAAATCTTCTGGTGCAGTCTTTGATGAATACATATGTGTGAGAGTAAGTGTAATTTCTGGCTTTGCTCATAATTGTTTGTAAATCCACGTGGTAAGAGCACAGCATCTCCATGCACCTTCAGCCAACTGTAAATGAGAGCACAGGTTTCAGAAGCAGAGTAGTGAGGGTACATCACACAATTTCAAAGTTTCCAATTTCAAACATTGATCATGAAGCTAATACCATTTTATGGAGTTCACTCATAAAGACACTTTGTTCTTTATAGAAATACTTTGCTTTTAAGATCACAGCCATAGAGGGATAAAAGGGATCTCAAGAGGTCAAACAGTGACAAGCCCTATGAGACAACAAGGCTGTCACTGGACCTTCCTTCCTACCTGCTGGTTTAGCAGCCAGTCCTTTGGAATTTCCTCTACTTAGCTAATACCACTGAGTAGGTACTCTAATATTTTTTCATAACAATTTCAAAGACCATTATTTCCAAATTGCATTTTTTTTCTGCCAGCTATCCTGATTATCCACATCTTTTTTCAAAAACTGATTGCTAATGTCCTGGTGGCTATATACACATCTACTCCCTTTGAATGTTAGACAAAGACTGTATTTTAAAGCTGTACAATGCATGCAGCAATGATTTTTTAAGTTTTGGTTTTTTGATTGAGAAGTTGGTAATTATCTAAAAATAGACTATGCCTCTTGCTTGCTATGAGATGTTACTGAGTAATCATTTTAATACAAGAGCATAGTATGAATAATCCATATGAGTTCTTACACTTCTCACAGAATTCTGCAGCCATGTTTGTCTTCTTTCTTTGCATGCTGACTTTTGTTACAATTCTTTCTGGAGTAAATAGCACTGAAATGTTTGCTATGAATAATTTCTGAAAAGTATTCTTGTAAAACAGTAACATGAAAGTAACTTCTTTTCTTTCTTCTTCCTTCCTTTCAGCCAAGCTGAATGGGAGCAGCTGCTGACAAACTGTAGTGCATTTCTGTTCTATGGGATGGAGAGATTCATGTCTCATGTGTTGCTTAATTGGTTGGTTGCTATGAACATCCCAAGTAAGATAAGCAAATTGAGAAATATTTTTAATTACACCAACTTTTATTCCTAGATGTGTCATTATCACAGTATTGATGTTGGCAATTAAGAGCTTTTTTTCTAGATCCAGGATTTTTAGTCAGAAAACCTTTGTGTTATGTTGGTTTTATTCTGTTGCATGCCTTTCTTGTTAATACTCACAAATAAGCTTAGTGCTTCATTTCCATGTGTTGGAATTTCTTAGGTTTCAAAAACTAAGTCATCATCGAATGGTTTTCTCAGTAAACCATCTCCTTTTTTTTGGAATTTAGTATTTGGTTGCAAGATATTTTTTAATGGTAAGACCATCCTCTGCAGTGCCACTTCAAAATTCCTAAGTCTCTGCTGAGGCAGAGGAGAATTGTCCATCGAGGCTGGGTTAATGCTGAAGGACTACTCTGGTAGGACAGAGCATTTGTAGACTCTGAGAAGGCACCTTCCCTCTGTTTCTTCACAACTAATTAGTCCCTCTGTTGTAGCATAAGGCTTAGATTCAGGACTGGTTTTTCGGATTCACAATCTTCCTTTCTCCTTCTGTTTTCCTTGCATATCTGGAAGATCTTGACTTCAGAGTTGTGCTGCATTTGTCAGGGTAGCTGCATTGTGTTGGCATGTGACAGTGAGAAGGAGAGCACACATCAGGCTCTGAAGCCCTGTAGGGCAAGAGGAAGCTTCTTCATGGAGCTTTGATTTTAAAAGCGATTTCAATATCTATATGTAAACATTACAAGAAATAAGATAATATGTTTTCTATATACATGGATCATATCTGAAGATGATGTTTTAGATATCCATAGACCAGATATTGACAGGACTGGCAACTTTTGGAAAGTTTCTAAACCTTGCCCTTTGTCCTACTCTTAAAATATGCCAGGATTCTGTCTGAGATTTCTGAAAGCTGTAATCTAGACCAAGTATTATTAAATATTTGATTTCATCATTTACGTGACGAAATGAAATATATCATTGCTAAATCTGAGCATGAGACCGGGCTGACAAAGAGAAAGCAGTGGTTTAGCAAATCCTGAAATGCAAGATTATGATACAAATTAACCTTGCTTTCTGTGGGTGTCATTTGGGAAAGTCTAGTGGGAGATACTATACTTCAGGGAAAATAATCAGTTAATCATTAATAAATTAAGGTAGGACTGCTTAAGGGGCAGAGTTACAGAACAGACTCGAGATGGATCACAAATCAAACAACAAACAACATACCCTTGCTAATGCTAAAAACCCCCCAAGGTCTGTACAGGGGGTTGCTATACACGAGTGGCACATGCAAGCTGTGTGCAATAATTTTCCACTCTCTGTAGTATTCCAAAGGTCTCAACTGGTGAAAATATTGACCACATAGAGTAAGCTGGAGAACATTAGGTCAGAAGGCTGTACCACAGCTTGTGTGCTTAGTTTTATTAACAAATATGTGTGTGCATTGGTATGTTTATATACATTTAAAACACTTTCAGAGGAAAGACTGACATATTGAGAGGAGACATGATAAAAGTTTTAAGTGTGTCAAAGACTTTCCAGGCAGAAAAGTAATTTATTTCTCATCTGCTTGGGTTAGGAGAATAAGTAACAGATTTATGCTACAACAAAACAAACAGTAGGCAAAACCTTTTAATTCTGAGAGTACTCCGAGTCATTTCACTGGAGCCCTTTAAGGAAAATAAGTCATGTTAGGGATGTAACTTGGTTGTGAGTGGTGGAGAGGAGCTGTAGTATAAAAAAAATTCAATATTTGCATACCATAAACTCTTCCTAGAGTTCATAACTACAAAGTTGGGTCATAGAGCTCATTGGCTGTAATAAGATGGTGTGTGGACTTCATTACCCATTACTGTAATGTGGCTTAGGAAAGAAAAACCTGCAAAACACTATGGAACAGTGTAGCAAAATTACATTCAATAATGCTAGCATGACTTTATTAATGTACATTTACATAAGACTTGACAATTGTGGCTGAAATGTGTAGATTTTATACTAATGGTTTAGACTGTGTTCAAGAAAGTAATTAACTTACAAAAGGCCTGTTTTTCTTTCATTATTGTGCTGGCTGTTATTATTAGTGCAAACATCATTGCTGTCTTTTTTCCAGAATGCCATCTGGTGATTCTTCTGGATCTGGTACGATCCCAGCAAAGTTACCGAAGAATTACAAACTCTGATACCCACAAAAGGTAGGTAAGGGCAATCTCAGTCGAGTCCACGAGAAGGCAGATTATTTCAAAGCAAAGCTACAATTTTGAGTTATGAATATTATCCTTTACTTCTGCAAATAAAAGAGCTTCTTTTTAGGACTAAATAAGATGAAAGCTCTGTTAGAAGGCAATGATAAGAAAATATGACACAGAAACCTTGCTACATTACACATTCCTCACAAGTTGGAGAGCAAGATTCTCAAAATGTTCTAGTTGAATATATAAAATTTTCCTTTAACTGATGAACTGCCAAGAGTCCCTCTTAGGGTTCATATATAGAAAAGTTTAACAATCAGGCAGATTTTTATTTAAATAAATTATTATGGCATGTTAAATAACCTGTTCAGAATTTTTAACATTAATTGCAACTTTTTTTTTATCTTTAAAAGCATGTCAGTATTTTTGTTGCCTTTAAGTTGACAGCTGGTAGGGTTTGCATTCTTTTATTGCATGTCCATTATGAATTCTTGACAGATGCCACAGTGTCCTAATTTTATTCATTAATTATTTAGTCCATGCTGAATTTTCAGATAACCTAATCATACACTTGAGGGATGAGATGCCCTGCAGAGGGATGTGGATAGATTGGAGCATTGGGCAGTCGACAGTGACATGGAATTTAACAGGAGCAGATGACAGGCTCTTCACTGTGACAGAGTGTAAATCTGGCGAGGAGTGGCTGGAGAGCAGCCCTGCAGAAAGGCACTTGGGGCTGAGCCAGCCATGTGCCTGGGCAGCAAGTGAGCAAAGCACATCCTGGGGACATAAATACCTCTCGACTTTTCTAATTGCTCATTCCATGAAGAAGAAATAGAAAAAAAAAATTCTCTAAAATTACGATTTAATTAGTGCAACAATGCATAAGTTAAATCCAGTTGTGTGTAAGATAGGTTATACACACATCTACACTTGCAGATGTCTGGCATTTTTTTATATCCTTTTTGATCCTAAACAGCCATCTCCTAAAGTAAACCAAAACACAATTTCTTAAACTGGTTTTTCAAACTCAAAAACTTTGAAGTCTCAGTTTAATAGTTTGGTGAATTTTATCAATAAGAGTTACAAGTCTAACTCCAAAAGCTTCCTGAAAATTTAGAGTAACATGCATTTAAAAATGAGTCACATAAACTCTATGGAGAATCAGACAGCATCTCCCCAAAAGATTGCAGAAAACTTTATCATCTTTTGATAAAGTCACTATGAAAAGCAGATCTGAATAAAAGCAAAATGCAACCTTCTATTTACTGCAGTTTCAACCTTAGAGTATCACTCCCCTTTTATGACTAAAATAATTATGCCAAAGACACTTACTGAAATATTCAGCAGTAAAAACTCAAGTCCCCCGTTATATGTGGTTTGCTTCTAAGCCTCCAAATCAGCACCATACTTACAACAGAGAACAAGGTTTCAGTTCCTGCAATATTTTGTCTAAACATGTCTTTTTACACCTGATTCCCAATATTCTGACTGTCTTATAAAAGGTATTCTGCAGTGTGTTGTAGAAGCTAGGGTGTTACTACTCCTTTCTGATTTCCAGAGATGTCCAGAACTACAGTAATATGACAGAGAATAAACCCCATGGTAAAATTGCACCATGAAAAAATGTAGAGAGAAGGCTGCCTGAATTCATTGCATTAAATTCAAAGTGCTGTATGAATGTTAGAAAACACTTGATGCTCAGCACAGAAGAAAATGCACTCTGACATTCTTTCTCCTTCTATTAAAAAACATTGTGCATTTGGCTATATTTTGAATATATTTTGCACATTTTTCTTTTATTGATCTCCTAATTCTGCTTTTCCTTAGTTGTGCACGAATTGCTCTGGAGAGTCCAAGAGAGGCAGCAATGCTGCTCAGCCTTGCAGGGGCTGGCTCTGTGATGGGCACGCAGTGGTACACGAGCTGGGAGGAGAATGCAGCACGGCTGGAGACCTTGTTTGAGAGTAAGAGCTGGTGTTTGGTGTGTCCTGCTGCAGGGTCTGTGTGCACCTCCCTGCCTCCTGGCTCCTCTTTCTCTGCTCCTTTCCAAATTCCGCCTGGAGTGTCCAGAGGAGGAGAACTGTGGTTGCCAGGCTGATCTTTCATACAGAACAGTCACCTACCTAGAGCAGACATGGTGAGGTGCTTGTTTATGGTCGTATGGTAAGAGTAGGATTTATATGGTGAGAAGCAGTGCCCGAGGACATGGCCATCGGTAGTTACATCAACTATGGGGAAAAAAATCCCCTGGATTCAACTTACATCAGCACTGATACATTGCTTACATCTGGAAAGGAATCCTTTCTCATAAAGTTTAAATGTGAAAGCACCAGGCTTTATGGTTGATAATTTCTTGTTTTTCAAAACTTTAGTTAAAAACTCACAGAAACTATCATTTCTTTCCAGATTTGCTGAGCTTTGGTAAAACGACTGGGCAGGCAGTTCATGTTCTTCAGAAAAACAGAAGCCACAGGAAAAGGGATTCCCTTAAAAGTAAGAATTAAAAGGCTTTAATATGAAAGACTGGCTATAAACACTGACTAGAACCTTTAGATAGGTAGTTCACGGGTATAAGTGAAACCTTATAGATGAGCTGTTACAATTTTCTCTGAAACTTCTTAAAAGAGCTGAGAGTTGGAAGACCACTGATACAATATGATAATTGGAGTAGCTTTATTTTATATAAAGAAAATTTTGGGGCGGCTTTGACATAGCTGACCAAAAGTTATTTTTTTTTTCTCCACTGAACCAATAAGGTAGTGTTACTAACAAGGTACATCAGGAGTACAACATAAACAATATAAATGGTATGAGATTTTAAACTGCAAAAAGATCAGTAGGATCTGCAGTGATTTTAGACAATCTGAGATCTAAGATCTAAGAATATTAGACAAGAGATATACAAGATATATCTAAGAAATATCTAGCATCATGTTGGAGAGTGGGGAAGAATTTTTGAGTAAAACAATTTCTGATACTGTCTATGAAATTGTACTGCTATTTTTCAATGTACAGGACTTGCCTTTTAAAATAAGGTTGAATAAAATACATTTTATTTATAGCTTGCACTGTCATAGTATTGAAGAGAGAAATAACTCAGATCAGAAATATTCTCTAGTTTTCTGTTTTTCAGAAAATGCTTCTTCAATATAGTGACAGTTGTTAATATTTTTAAAAGAATATAAAAGAACCACAAGTATTAATCCAAGAAAAGATGTGTTAAATGATGGCACTTACAGCATTCTTATATTTAGTTATATTCAGAAATAACAATGGTTTTTAATGTATTTTTATAGCGGAAGCAGATTCTCACAGATCTCCTGGAGACAAAAGAGAGGAGCAGACTGTTTGCACTTCCTCAGATCTTCCTGCAACTCATCCATCATTTTTTAATTGTGTGCTCTATGGTTTACCCAACATAATTCTGATGTAATTTGTGTCAATCTTTTCATGCTAGGAATACCTACACTGATCTAAGGAGAGGTGAGAGTAAGATGTGCATATTGCTGATTCCTGTTTCAGATGTAAACAGTTTGATATTAGAAAAAGTGTCAGCAAAATAGAATATATAGTTCAGAAATTTCAGTTAGTACTCTAAGGCTTTTTTAACTTGGTGAATCCTTTAAAAATTTGGTAAGTACCAACATATTTTAAAGAAAACAGGCTAGTATTTTTCAGCCTTGATGCATGAATGGGATTGAAATGTATCAAAGTTAGTGCTTCCATTTGGAAAAACATTTCCTTGATGCATTTTATTTTCACATGGATGATTCATCAGGAACAAAGATAAAAAATTTACCAGGTGACTTTACTCTGAATGAACCGATCTTTCTATATGGAGGTTGTAGCTTAATTAGAAACCAAGTTAGTGTTAAATAAAATGGTCAATAATTTTTGCTTTATTTTCTTGTGTTTTTCCTTAATAACATTCCCAACATAATTCCTGCCCAATATCCCATCCATCCCTGTCCTCTGGCAGTGGGAGCCATTCCCTGTGTCCTGTCCCTCCATCCTTGTCCCCAGTCCCTCTCCAGCTCTCCTGGAGCCCCTTCAGGCCCTGCCAGGGGCTCTGAGCTCTCCCTGGATCCTTCTCCTCTCCAGGTGAGCTCCCCCAGGTGTCCCAGCCCTCAGAACACCTTTGTGGCCTCCTCTGGGCTCACTCCTATACTGGGGACTCTTCAACTAGATGCAGTACTCCATCTAGACTTTCACAAGAGTGAGAAATTATTTTTATTATATTAAGCAACAAATTGTTTTAATGAAATAAAAATATTAAAATATTTTAAAATTAAAAATACCTGCATTTTTTTGAGTATTCTGAAGTATTCATTTATTTTGCAATGAACTCTTAATTTTTACAATATTATATACTGTTCAGCAACCTGGAGGAAAAAAACCTACCAACTAATGACCCAGAAATAAATTACAGTAGATACACCTTAGGACATATGAGCTCTCTCGTCGAATGACATTGGCACAAGCCCAAACAACAAGAATAAGAGCTTCTGAAAATATTTCATCTACGTGACACTACATCATTCCCATGCACTGTATTCATTCATACAAGAAATATTAAGCAGTTAGTGCTATTCCATGTATCAAAGGCTTTAAAATAACTTTCTGAATTATGTCTCAGCAACATAACAAATCACACTATCAATTAGGTTTTATAACAGAAATGACATTTCATAATCTATTTTAGCATGAAAAGAATTGGTCAGCTAAAATTTATGTAATCTGAAAAATGTGAGGAGGAAAAAAACCTTGGTGAATTTATTGATGATATTCTAGGACAAGAACATAACTCGAGTTGTACATAGCTCTATGAATGGTCTGCAGTAAAGAGCTGCAACAAGTCTGCTACAAAATGATAAAACAAAAAAAAAATAGAAGCTCTATCATTAGTCCCTGGTATAACCTCTCTAAAATGAGAGTGCCTTAAGCAGTGATTGAAGGATTTCATGTCCCACGTGTGTCTCTCTGCACAAGAGAGGCAGAGGGAGGTGCTGGAGCAGATGCCAGAGGGAACAGCTCCAGATGAGATG